GGTGCCTGTTGCTGCCGGCGGCGATGGTACGTCTTCCCGAGGAAGGCGTCCATAACAATTTGTTTGATGCTAATGGAATTGTGATGTTTATATTTTTTTATTGGAAGTTTGCAAATAATTATAGCATCTTCCCCTTTATTGTAGGCAAGGGAATAGCTATGTGTTTTCTTGACTAATTTATGTAGCTCCTTTTGTGGACTTATTTGGTGCAATGCATGCACAAAGAACTCTTTAGTTTTTTTAGCAAGTTGAAGCAGAAAAAGATAGCTGTCTTCTTGATGATGTTGCATGGTCAATCATTTATATTTGTTTGTGATTTCTTATATTCCAGGTTCATATGGAGAAGTTTACCGTGCTGATTGGAATGGAACTGTAAGTTGTACTGTACTTTCTTATACACTTGGGAATTTTGATGGTGATATGCTATTTTCTACTTCATTTTGTTGGGCCATTAATTTTGGTCAGTAGGACTACTTTTGACAGAATGTAAAGCAAACATATATTTTAATCAAATGGAAAGATACAAGAGGTGTACAAAAAAAGGACACTGCCCCCTATTCAGTGAGAGACTATAGTGAAAGCTACTAACTTGTGTGCAGAACCATTTAGGTATATCCAACTTTCATGCTTGATTTGCGATTCAAGCAATTCAGAAGTGGAGTCTCTTGGATTGCATTTCATTCCATATTCTGAATTATTGTTCTCAAGGAATTTCAGCAATCAAATAAATCATAAGAAGGAATTTTGACAATCTAATAATAACAAGTCATAAACAATCTGATCTAGTCAGCTATGATGAGACCGTAAGCAAGATCATCATCATCATCATCCAGGCCTTATCCCAACTATATGGGGTTGGCTAAACAGGATTTATGTGGTACCCCCCCTCCCAAAACATATAATTGGGATAAGGCTTGGATGATGATGATGATCTTGCTTGGGGCATCATAGCTGACTAGCTCAAAAGAAAATTAAATCCAAGGCGTTGTTGAGGATTCACTGAGTGAACCAATTTGGTGGATTATTCATGAATTTTGCTTGGAAATAATCTGTACTTTTTAAGAGTATGGATTAATACTTGTTATTTTATATGCTGCTTTCATAACTTTGGCAATTTGTTAACTATTAAAGCAGTTTCTGGATATACTGCATAATCTTGTGTTAATTTTTGCTTATTCAGCATTTGCCAAGTGTATGCTTGATTAGCTTCCCTAAATGGTTGGGTCATAGTACAAGGAACCTGGATCCGCTGCAAACAAAAAGCATGCCAATATGCTGACAGCATGGCATCCAGCCAGACATTGGAAACATCCAGCCACTTTAATGGGGAGATGTTCCCAATGTTTGGCTGGATGCTGTGCTGTCATCATGTTAGAACTCCTTTTGCTTGAAGCAGACCCTTCTCTGGTTTTAGTGTGAATGCATCATTATTAGAATTGCAACTGCAATTCCCAAAAGTGATCTCTTCTCTGATCTAGTTATGCTGATGTAAGATTGTTTGGTTTCTGTTAATATGGCATGGCAGGAGGTTGCTGTAAAGAAGTTTTTAGACCAAGATTTCTCTGGTGATGCATTACAGCAGTTTAGATGTGAAGTAAGAATCATATTTATTTTTTTGGATTGAGCAACAAGCTTAAAAATTTAATTAATGAGATAAATAGTTGTGTACATAATGGCTGCATTCCTGAGATTGAGATGGCCATTTTCAAAGTCTGTATGCATCAGATGTTTCTGAGTTTCTCCCCACACTCCAAAACAGATTTTCCCTCTCCACCCCTTGTTTTTTCAAGACGTCAGCCATCTCTTTTGAGGTTCTTTATCTCTTTGATAATATTTCTATACTGCCAGGGGGTCCAATCCTCATTCTGAATCCATCCCACTGGTACTTTGAAGCAAAAATCATAAAATTTTCAAACCATGTATTGTCAAAGTATCATGAACCCTATTCTTAATTTTAATTTTTCCTTCATAGAACACTTGAATCTGTTTATTTGTATTCTTCTGCAGGTTATGATCATGCTAAGGCTAAGACATCCAAATGTTGTTCTTTTTATGGGAGCAGTTACTTGGCCACCCAATCTCTCAATACTAACAGAATTTCTTCCAAGGTTGGTTATATTTGTCAGTTCTTTTCTGTGTATTCATGGTTTGTTATTTTTGACTTGCGTTTGTTGACAATCATGAACATATTGAATATACAAAGGAAATAAACTACTAAAGATGCCACCTGAAGCCAGGGGCAACCCAAATAGCTAAATGGTTACTTACAAGTTACATATAGAAAGAATATACAAAGGTTGGAATATAGTTACAAATTTAAACCTATAAAAATGTTGCAGAAGTACATATTTGGTACTGAAGTCTGAATTTGAATACCAGGTTTTGATCAAATGTCGTTATTTGCATTTTCTATTCTCTTATAAATATTAGTTTTTTTTTGGAAGGCATTAGCCACAACAGCAACAATAAAATATAGAGATAAAAGATGGAAAATAGAAAGCTATGTAATTTTGGTTTCTATGATCTGTGACCAAGGTTCAAAATATCGATACGCCAGTAGGGGCGTATCGGGCGAATCGATATTGCATTTTGTGTCTTTTTTTATTTTTTTCGCAACCGGTTCAGGGGGGTTGGTTTAGGGCTCCTCCACCCCCTGACCCCTGATACACCCACTGTAGGGGTGTATCGGAGGGGTCCCGGAACGATACGTATGGCCGATACGTGTCAATACTTTGAACCTTGTCTGTGACCAATGTCTAGTCTTTATTTTCTCATGTTTTGTTCTTTAAGGCAAGTGAAGCTATATGAAGAGTTTATTCTATTTTTGACTCAGTTGTTTGATGAGGATGATCATAAAAGTCCAAGAAAAGGGATGATGATATGTCTGTAATGAATGTGGTGAATGTTGAATATAGCAGTCTATGTTGATAAATTTTGTGAGACAATTCCAAATAAATGAGTTGAAACTTTTATTTTTCCCCCTACTTACCGGTAAAAACCCTCTCTGTTAATTTGCTTAATGAAGAAGAAGAACAAACATGGAAAGAAGGAAACATCAAATTTCTATATTTTCCCAAGAAAGCAACAATGCCAACTTTCGGAGATGTATGGCCTTAGCCAGGGGTCCTGAGTTTTTTTTTTTTTTTTTTTCTTCAGTTAACAGGATTTTAAATTGAATTTTTGTTAAGTTATTTTATTCATTCAATGTAAAAATTCTTTGCAAGGAAAACAGTTGGATGTTGTCGAGCTAGAGCAATCCATTCTCATATTCTGTCTTCTTGTGAAGCTTATACTTGACTACAGATAGGCAGATAATAATCACCAATTTTCTGAGCTATACTTACTTTTCCTGAAATCTTGAAGTAATTCCATTGTATAAATACATGTTATTGGTGAACCTATCTCAATCCTATTTATTTTCTTACAGGGGGAGTTTATATAGGCTAATGCATCGTCCCAATGTTCAACTTGATGAAAAGCGACGATTGCGAATGGCCCTGGATGTGGTATATATTAGCAAGCCTTTTTTATCAGTAACTGAAACTTTATGGCTTGAAATAAAAATGAGTGTGAAATGGCAATTCCTAAGCAATCCAGTTTGGCCTAGCTCCTTCTAGCCACCCCTCTAGGGGTCATTACTCTGTGTAATTGTAAAATCTTGGGCTGGCAAGTGTGAGAGTACAGGTTTAAGCCTGAGAGCGGCCACTTTGTGTGAAAGAATTGCCAAAAGGTAGGACTGTACCTAGTCTACCCTTCCCATGACTCCAGATAGCTGGGACCAACATTTAGTAATGGCCTGACCTGCTAGCCACCCTTCTGCTTTTTCAAGTTACAACTTCTCACTTCAGGGAATCAATCCCCAAAAATAGTTTGAGTTCTGAGTGTTCCTTTGTTTTGCTAAGCTATTTGTTGAACTGCTGGCAGATTATATATTGGCAAGCAATTATTGTTTGGGGAACTGTTTGAGTTTACTTATTGAAGTAATATGATTGTTTGCAGGCCAAGGGAATGAATTACTTGCACACAAGTCATCCCACCATTGTACATCGAGATTTGAAGTCACCGAATCTCCTTGTTGATAAAAATTGGGTTGTGAAGGTTTGGTCTAAACCAAAATTTTCTTAGTTATTCAATTATCAAAAAAAAATTCTTAGTTATTCAGACACTTCCCTGATTCTAGATGATGTTTAGAACTTAACTACCTAAGAGTAATTGATTTTTTCTGCTTTGAATCTAATGTCTTTTAGTTAATGCACCTGTCGTGGCCTTCACTGATACATTTGGCATATTTGAAAGCTGTTATTTCTGTGTTGAAATTGTAAGATGAATAAAAAATATATAATTTACTCTGCCAGGCAAAAATTTGACATGACTTCCTTACACTTCAAAAATGTTTCTTCTATCATTTCCTCACTCTAGTCTCTAGTTCTTGCATGTATGTTGATTAATGTTCTATACTTTTTTTGATAAGTAAAAGTTCATTAAAATTTCATTCAAAACAATAAGGATATACAACCATTACAAGCATCCCATTGGGAGGCGCAAGGTGTGGACTCACTATTTAAAGAAAAAACAGCACAAAAGTTACAAACGGGCCCAATACAACTGATCCCTAGTTACCCCTTGCTTAGCTAAAGAAACAGCAAATGCATTAGCCTCCCTCCCCACCCATTGTATAACTAAATTCGTATGTTGTGTTAACCATTTGAACTTCTTCATTTCATCTCTATAACACCATATCAGTGAATCTGGATCTTTTAGCCAGCCCACCACCACCTTGGAGTTCCCTTCTTTCACCAGGTTCTCCAAGATTATCTCTTTTGCAATCCGAACACCTTGTAGGACAGCATACAGTTCAGCCTTAATAGTTTCTGTTAGAGCTAGCCGAATAAGGGTAGATTAGTCAATTTATTTCTGTTAAGTTATGTGCTTATGTGGCAGTCTTAATAGAGACTTCCTGTCCCATACTTAAGTGGGGGCAGTTTAGTCTTTGTACCACTAATTAGAGACTAATCCATATTAAGGGTCGACTAATAGGGTTTAACCTATCAAGTTCGATTGTTCTCTTCATCTTCATCTTCTTCTTCTTCTTCTCTTCTCCTGGTTCAAACTACTGTAGCTACAGAAATAACATGGTATGAAAGCTGGATGCACGCTCTATTAAGTGTGTCTTTCTTGGCTACTCTCGGACTCAAAAATGGTACAAGTGTTACAATCCCATTACTCGGAAGTGTTATGTCTGTCCTGATGTCACATTTTTTGAGTTTGTCCCCTTCTTCTCGGGACCTGAAGTATCCGTATCATCACCTTTGCTTCCTCTTCCTCTTCTAGTCAGTGGTCCTGTTCCGGGTGCTCTAGTTGGGGTTGACCCTTCACCTCCTCCAGTGCAGATCCCTATTGAACGACCACCGATCCGGCTCGTGTATACTCATCGAAAGACACCGGCTCCTTCTCCAGCTTCTACCTTGTCTGCGGATCCTGTTGTCCCTAAGCCTTCAGGACTTGATCTTCCCATTGCTTTACGAAAAGGTAAACGTAGTTGTACCCTCCATCCCATTTCCAATTTTGTTTCAGTATCTCGCATTTCCGCTTCACATCGCCAGTTTGTTTCACTATTGTCATCTATTTCGATACCTAAGAATGTTCGAGAGGCTCTTAGCTCACCTGGGTGGCGACAGGCAATGGAGGAGGAATTCTCTGCCCTTCAGCATACTCACATGTGGGAGTTCACTACTCTTCCACCTGGTAAGCATGTTGTGGGTTGTAAATGGGTGTATACTATTAAATACTTGCCAAATGGTAGTGTGGAGCATCTGAAGGCTAGACTTGTTGCTAAAGGCTATTCACAGTTGTATGGGGTGGACTATATGGAGACCTTCTCTCCAGTGGCTAAGATTGGCTATGTCCGTGTCTTAATTTCCCTGGCAGTTATGTATGATTGGCCCTTGTTTCAACTTGACATTAAAAATGCCTTCCTTCATGGTGACTTTATGGAGGAGGTATATATAGAGCAACCACCGGGGTTTGTTGCTCGGGGGGAGGATGGTATGGTGTGCAGACTGAAAAAGGCAATTTATGGGTTGAAACTATCGCCTCATGCCTGGTTTGGAAAGTTTAGTGAAGTGGTGAAGAATTTTGGAATGAAACAATGCCAAGTTGACCACTCAGTGTTCARCTATGATTCAGAARCCGGAAAGATTTTATTAGTGGTCTATGTGGATGATATCGTCATAACTGGTAGTGACAAATTGGGGATCGATAAACTAAAGGTCTTTCTGCAAAATCACTTTCAAACAAAAGACCTTGGAACATTGAAGTATCTCTTGGGTATAGAAGTTGCTAGATCAAGACAAGGTGTAAACCTGTGCCAAAGAAAATATGTTCTTGATCTACTGGATGAAATAGGACTGTTAGGTGCAAAACCGACTGAAACTCCCATGGAACCAAATGCTAAGTTGAGTAGTGATACAGGGGAAATATTTGATGATCCTAGAAGGTATAGACGGCTAGTGGGGAAGCTGAACTATTTGACTATCACGAGACCAGACATCTCCTTTGYAGTCARTGWGGTGWGYCAATTTATGCAGAACCCTCGGATACCTCACTGGGATGCAGTTCTTAGAATTGTAAGGTACCTGAAGGGAGCTCCAGGTTGTAGGATATTGTACAAACCAGGAGGAAAACTTGAAGTAATTGGGTATACAGATGCAGATTGGGCAGGTTTTGTGTCTGATAGAAGATCTACTACAGGTTACTGCACATTTCTTGGAGGAAATCTTGTGACATGGAGGAGTAAGAAGCAAACGGTTGTGGCAAGGAGTAGTGCTGAAACCGAATACAGGGCCATGGCACACACTACATGTGAATTAGTATGGCTGAGGAATCTCCTACAAGAAATCGGGTTCTCCATGTTTGTGAGGGAGAATGTCCTTACTGGAGAGATAAGCATAGAACATGTGGGCTCAGGTGATCAGTGGGCAGATTTGTTTACAAAAGACTTAAGCTTAGGGAGAGTGAACTATATATGTAACAAGCTGGGATTATATGACATATATTCTCCAGCTTGAGGGGGAGTGTTAGAGCTAGCCGAATAAGGGTAGATTAGTCAATTTATTTCTGTTAAGTTATGTGCTTATGTGACAGTCTTAATAGAGACTTCCTATCACATACTTAAGTGGGGGCAGTTTAGTCTTTGTACCACTAATTAGAGACTAATCCATATTAAGGGTCGACTGATAGGGTTTAACCTATCAAGTTCGA